TTCGTCATCATCTTATTACTGATTATCGAATCTTTTTTAGTTTCGCCCAAATCTTTTTTAGTTTCGCCCAATTCTTCTCTCAACTCCAAAACTGGATTTCTTTTTGAAAGTTTTTTTATTATTCCCTTTACAAATGGAATTTTTGTTTCTCCTGAGACTTTTCGAAACAATTTTTTTCCTTTTTTAAAAATTTTCCATTTTTCACTTTTTTTTTCTAGTTCGTTAAAAATAGGCTGAAAAAACGAAGGCCGTCTTCGAGGAGGACCGCAAGGTAAGTCACTTTCCAGTCCACAAGCTGTTAAAAAGCAAAAATCATTCTTTTTAACTTTCTTTTTTTTCATTGGATCTTTATGCTTTTTTTTCATTGGATCTTTATGCTTTTTTTTCATTGGATCTTTATGAGAGGGTTTCAGTTTAGATCCGCGCCAAGGTTTCAGGCGAAAAGGATATAGGATCTTGATCTGGATACCTTCTGATAACCAATTTTTTGGAAAGTCTTTTGTGGAGAATTGAAGACCATTATAAGTGCATTTAACATGTATTTCTCGCTTCCAACCCTTGAAATCCGTGGACCACTCAGGAATTTGAAATAATAATATACGGACAATGTTTTTAGCTATTATCAATGAAGGTAATAGAATATATTTTCTAAAAATCGATTGGGCTATTAACATGATGCCCCTTGGTCCTTGACCAAAAAAGACGATATCCCAAAATTCTGCTGCGTCCAGCAGGAAGTCATCTGCCTCTGACTCTTGTCTTCTTTTTTCTTTCTCTTTTTTGTCTCCTTTTTGTATCTCTTCTATGCTTTCTCTTCTTTTTTCTTCCTCTTTGTCTCTTTCTTGTATCTTTTCTATGCTTTCTCTTATCTCTTCGTCTTCTTCTCTTATGTCCTCCTCATTTTCTGTATAATCAGAAATTTGTGATTCTTTGTTTTTCCATATCCAATTTCGAGATATTAGTTTTATCAGCCAAGAAATATCAGAATACAAAGATCTGAACACTCTGAAGAAGAGGCTGTCTACTCTGTCAAAAAAAAGTGGGGAATGCACATTTGATTGAAACAGTTCCCCATTAATTATTTTACGTCTTTGGGCACGCACGGCACCTTTTATTATGTCTCGACGAAAATTCGGTTCTGGCGAATATTCCATCAAAGATAGGTCGTTTTCTATATCGTTTGGTAGAAAAAAATCATCCTTTAACTCCTCCTTAGAAAAAACTATTGCGTACCGGAAGATTCTTGAACGAATTGCATAATCTGTTATCATGTGTTCCTCGCCTCCTCTATGGTGTTGTTCGAAAATGTCGAGTAGTTTGTATGACCATCGAGGAACTTCTTTACTTATTTCTTTTATTCCATTACTTATTTCTTTTATTCCATTAGATTTTTTTATAATTGTTTGATTGTCGGGATTAGTTATAACTATATTGCATAAAAATTTCAAAATTTTGACTCGATCCTCGGAATCGATATTTCCCTGTTCATCTTCTGTTTCTGTCAATAAAGAAAGTTCTTTTTCTGTTGATAATGATTTGAGTGTATCTATTGTCTGTTCATCTTCTGTTTCTGTCAATAAAGAAAGTTCTTTTTCTGTTGATAATGATTTGAGTGTATCTATTGTCTGTTCATCTTCTGTTTCTGTCAATAAAGAAAGTTCTTTTTCTGTTGATAATGATTTGAGTGTATCTATTGTCTGTTCATCTTCTGTTTCTGTCAATAAAGAAAGTTCTTTTTCTGTTGATAATGATTTGAGTGTATCTATTGTCTGTTCATCTTCTGTTTCTGTCAATAAAGAAAGTTCTTTTTCTGTTGATAATGATTTGAGTGTATCTATTGTCTGTTCATCTTCTGTTTCTGTCAATAAAGAAAGTTCTTTTTCTGTTGATAATGATTTGAGTGTATCTATTGTCTGTTCAAATTCGTAATAATCAGTAGCAAGAAGTATAACATGAATCTTATTTATCCAAAACGGATCCGTGTTTGTTTTTTCACTTAAAGGTGAAAACAATTTTTTGATTCTTCCGCGGTAGGGTCCCTGCAAGAAAGGATCATATATTTTAGGCAAGTATTTTATTTTAGTTTCATTATTAGTTTCATTATTAGTTTCATTATTAGTTTCATTATTTCTTTTAGTTTCATTATTTCTTTTAGTTTCATTATTTCTTTTAGTTTCATTATTAGTTTCATTATTAGTTTCATTATTAGTTTCATTATTTCTTTTAATTTCATTATTTCTTTTAGTTTCATTATTAGTTTCATTATTAGTTTCATTATTAGTTTCATTATTAGTTTCATTATTAGTTTCAGTAGTAGTTTCTTCATTATTAGTTTCATTATTAGTTTCATTATTAGTTTCATTATTAGTTTCTTCATTAGTTTCATAATTAGAAAATCGAGTCCTTTTTTCAAGTATGCCCAGATCAAAAGATTCCTTATATAAATATTCCTTATCTAAATATTCGACTCTCTTTATAAACTCCTTACTTAAATTTATTCTTTTTAGTTCATTGATAAAACTCCAATCAGTATACGATTCGTCAGAAAACAATTCTTCTGGTGTGAAAAAATCTATTTGTTTTTGTACCATTTCTCCAAAAGCTGCTAAACTAGGTGGATATGTAAAAGAGATTTTTTCTTTTCCATCACTTCGACATGTATAAAAAAAATATTGTGACATTTCATTTTTTAGAGCATTGTCAAACCGATTATTTTTTATATATCGCCAAGGTCGATTCCGTTGTTTATAATCAAAAATAAGCGTCACAAGAGGTTTTTCAAACCATAATAATTTTTTATATTCTTTTTTTTCTGATATTATTTCTAACTTCGAATTTTCCTGATTCCCATCCAGATAAGAAGTTTCATAAACTGGGCTATTTTTATAGTCGGTCTCTTTCGAAAAAGGGTAATAAGAAAGATTTTCTTTGGTGGATACCTGTTCCTCCCCCCCTTTGGAAATAGTTTCTATTTCTATGTTTGTTTCTTCCTCCCTTTCCTCCAATTCCTTCAATTCCTCCAATTCCTGCCCTTTTCTTCGGCTTTGATGAATTCCTGTCAGTTTCTTAGTCAGCATGTGTGACGGTTTTCTACCTATAGAGTAAAGACAGGTAATAAAAAAGAGAAGAGTAAAGATTCGAGGAATAGACTTTGTAAGTTCGAATATAAGATGCCTATTAGATCGAATAACTATATAATACCTAAGAAAAGTCCTTTTTTGTATCCAGGCTAATACCACTCCAACCCATTTCATTAATAAAATTTTTTGTATCCAGACTAATACCAATCCAACCCATTTCATTAATAAAATATGACCAATTAAAAAACCAACAAAACTACTTATTACAAATAACATATTGGTGTTGTATCGAAACATATAAATGTTGACTAATCTGGCTAACATTGGACTTGGTAAAATGAAATGGTTGACTAATTGAAAAATTAAATTATGCAGGAATACACATTGAATCCTAAGATTACGCATTGAATTTCCGGCAGTCTCTCCTGCATAATAATCAAAAAAATCAAAATAGTCTTTGTCATTGTTCCAGAAGTAATAAAACCAAAGATACGGTAGAACTAGGACATTTAGTAGATGAGGTCTAATCAATGCTAAATGCAGAGGCTCATAGTAGATCGATATGAACAGCATGAGCTGTCCCATAAGAAAGCCAGTTGTTGCTGCTGCCCTCTTCTCGTTTCCTTCTTCTCCTTGTTCCATAACCCAAGTTTGTACAAGGAGGAGATAAGAGGGACCTAGGGATAATGTGGTCAGAAATCCATAATAGAGTCCGACCACAAGGACTGACAGGACTGAATTGATTATCCTCATGAATAAGGATATTAGATTACTCGGTATAAACGATTTGAAAATCATAAGAAACCCCCTAATTTTTTTTTTTTTGTTTTTTTTTTTTCTGGATTATTCATTATTAT